ATTACTAATCAAATGTTACACAGAAAATAGAGGCACAAGGCAGTTGTAGATACTTATCTACCTACATGACTTTTGGAACATCATCACAATCTTCCTGGTACTACCGGGCAGGTAGCACCATCTCATAAAAATATGAACCATGATTGGCTTAACACACAGTGCATGACACTAGCAAAATCTGACGAAACACAAGCAAAAGAGTAAATAAGGAAATTATTTTCATATCACTGCAGTTCAAGTGTTGTCACAGGCAATACTCAAACCAAACATAGTCTCTACCTGTGTTAACAAATGGCAACAACACAGGGGCCATACTGGAAAATTTAATTTAGGTACTTTACAGGAATTTCAAATTAGAGACACACACTCGACCCCTACATAAAATGACTTTTTGGTGACAAACACCGGACATAAAACCTAATTGCAAGAGTAAAAACAATGCCTTGCACTTGAGCTTTTAAAGAGAAAAGCACAAAATGCACACAGACCGAGTCTATAGGACAACGTAGCACTGACACTCTTCAGATCTGCATGAGCTCCTGTCGTCTTTCAGTTTCAAAATATCACGTTTGGGCAGGTACCAGGTTTTTACAGATGTGCATTTCCAGAAACACATACTGAAAGCTATGAAAATGATTTTCCAGTGCATGTTGACGACAGGTTCATCAGGCATTTTTAAAGTATATACAACTATCAAAAGTGTAATGCCACTATTTCAATTAAATATAAAGCTAGCAATAAGTTTCTCACAAACTCCTCAAAATAGGGTAAAAGTTCACTTCACACAAGGTGGTACACAACTTCTCAGCAGCCACTTCCACCTAGGCACTGGCACTTCACTTGATCCCATCCAGTCTCTCCACAAAAACAGCAGTCTTCTAATCAGCATAAACAATGAATTGTTGATTATCTGTGTCACCCATTTCAACTTGTACATACTGGGGTACAAATGGTTGGGCGTGAATCATGGGGACCGATCTTCCTGGATTCCTTGACCTGAAAATTGAAGAAATACAAATGTTATATCTGATAATGTTGAAAATAAGAGTAGAAAAATACACAATTTTACTTACTTTGCTTTAGCATGAGTTAAGATATGAGATTTCAAATTGGTTGACTGTGCAAACTTTTTGTTACAACCATCAAATGGACAAACATATGGTCTATCACCTGTATGAATCCTAACATGTGTCCTGAGATTGAAATCAAGAGAAAAGCGCTTTCCACAACCTTCAAATGTACACTGTAAGAAAAGATTCCGTAGTTAATACTTGATCTTAATTCAGCACCCAGCACATAGAAACAAATGCTTAGTTTAAAAATATCAATAATGAACTAAAATATAAATAATCGGTAAGTAAGTGAGCATACCTGGAAAGGTTTTTCTCCTGTATGAACAAGTTGATGTCTCTTGAGCTTAGAGCTTTCAACAAATGCCTTGCCACATTCTGCACACACATGTACCCTGGGACCATGTGTGTGTAAGTGTTTGCGCATTGCCGAATTGTCACGGAACATTTTAGTGCAACCTTTGTGCGGACATGCAATAGTTCTGTCCACACCATCACTTGGCTCTTTTTTCCTCATTTTGTGACCAGGTCTACACAGCAAATTAATCATAAAAATAAAGTAAGTTCATAATTTGACTGAATTCGAAAAGTCAAACACAAAGAAATCTTACCTTGCAAATTCAGCAAGTTGTTTGGGGTCACTGAGGTCCAGGCCAGGCATTCCGTCAGCTGAATTCTTTTTAAGGTAGTCACTGGTATCCTGGTCCGTGTCGTCTTCATCATTACTGCATTCATCTGTGTGGACAAGGGCCAACGACTAGACTACTGCACATTTGAAACACTAAGGTAGTGGAAGAAGGTAGATCCAACTGTATTTTTCAGAGGACGAAACAGTTTTGGGGCGAGGTGGACATGCGGCGGGTTCAAACGGCCCGGGCTCGGCTCCTTTGTTTGACAGGCAGATGGCGCTAGAGTAGCACCTTCATTGATTGCGAAGAAGAAGGCCCACCAGCTCAAGGACGCCGAGTTTTCCGAGGGCAACTGTACGAAAACAGCTCGGAGGCAAACGCCCCGACATCTCGGGAGCACATCTCCGGGGCTCGCCCTGTGCGGTGCTCCCGCCCGCCCGGCCCAAGAGGCCCATCAACCAGCCCCAATCCCCGCAAAACGCCGCGGTCGCGAACGCCTCGCGACCCACCGACGCCATAGTGTCCAGTGGCCATTTTGCCTGGGAAAAATATGGCTGCGCCCTTAGATCATAATATGGCAGACGAAGCACCAAAACAAACAAAGTACATAAACATTGGCACGCCGGCGTCGAGCCGTTTCGCACAGGTGCCACGGCCAGGACACGGGGGGGTCCGCGAGAGCGAGGACGCCGTCCAGCACGGCGTGAGGGTGCAGGGGCACAAACACGGTGCCGGACCGAGCGGGACAAAGCCCCCGTCGAGTGACAGGACACGGGGCTCGGGGGCACGCCGCCCGCGGACGGCGCTACACAACGGCCAAAACTACTTACCATCATCTGTCCCGGACGCCCACATGGTCACGGAAAACTCGCCCTCCAGGGTTTTGATTTGGACTTGTTTCTGCTCCCACTTGCGGGCCTTGGTCTCGGTGCCGTCGCTCAGGAAGTTGTCGCCTTTGAAACGACCGCCGCGCTTGCCCTTGCGACCTTTTCTCGACGGCCCCGGACTCGTCTCGACGTAAATCTCTTGGTCCGGCACTTGCATTTGGTCGTAAACAGACGTTAGCGGGTCCTCACTGCACACAATCTCTTCCTGGGTCTGGAGAATGATCTCCTCCCTGCCGGGCTCGGGGAGGGGCTGCAGCGCGATCATGGGCTCGCCGGAGCCGTAGTCGATGGTGGTCTCCACGGTTTCGCACGGCATGTCTACGGGCATCGACTCAATCTCTACTTCTTGAATATCGGGCTTAATAACAACCTCCAGGTAATCGGAGGACGCCATGTTCTAATCCAATATGGCCGTTCCTCGCTTCAACACTGATGATGGCTTCCCAAAAAGATCTCCCAGAGCACGGCCGGCTGGATGTCGAGTTCACCACGTTCTCGGGCGACGTGCGCTCGCTCCGACGGGCCGTGACTGGACGCGCTCGCTGCCAATTGCCAACTCTGCCAACCGACAGCCGCGTAGCGGCAGCGTCCCGAGCGCCGACCAACCCTTAGTAATGAGTAATAAAAGCTCGAGGGAAGCATACACTTTCACTTCACATCGTTTCCATCATTTTCTCACTCGACATGTTGCGTCTTCTTCCCGCGACGAGTCGCTCGCTTCGCCGCACAGGTTGGCGACAGTGTGCGATGGGTATGTCGACAGTGGCGCCACCTGTGTTGAAACGCTCGCATTCGTTGGCGGAGCGGGTGAAGAGGGGGGAGGGGGAGGGTGGCTGCACTACAACAAGTGTTGCGGTAGCGTCGGCGGCGGCGGCGCCCAACCGCTTTACCTTTACCTGAGGGGGACAAGGGGGGGGGGCGCCCCTCCCAAGCCGCTCGCCAGCCGCCGCTCGCCGTCGCCGCCGCCACCACCGCCCGCCGCAGTTGCGCCTCTGTGATGGCCCGGGGAGGTGTCTGTTCTGCGTGACGCGTGTCGAGGCCGCTGCTGCCCGTGTACGTCGCGGGACGCCCGTGAGTGGGTGTGTGCGCGTTTGTGAGTCAGTGCTTGTGTGTGTGTGTTGGTGGCCGACTTTTGGATATATCACTATTATTTTCCGAGTGTGATGAAGCAAGGATAAACCGCACCCATGGCCGCACTCAGCAGCAGTTGTTCAGGTGAGGCCTTCTCCCCCGCTCTCGTCCCAGCTGCAGGTGAACTCGACAGCCACCTGCTCGGCGCTCTGGCCCGGCTCGGGCCAGGTCAGCGCGGCGGCGGCGGCGGCGGCGTCAGAAAGAGAGAGGACAGCCACCCGCACAACCGGCCACGCCGGCCACAGGCAGGCCCAAAGGAATCTGGCCCGGCTACGACTACGCTGTGTTTCCGAGGAAACCCGGGGCGGTGACAGCGGACAGCGCACCGCACCTGTGTGACAGCCGAACGGTTCTCCCTGACGTTCCGACAAAAACGAGCCGAAGGGAGACCTTCAGAAGAATGAAAATGACAAGAAACCTATAAAATATTTTTCTCTCCAGCATATAGACAGCAACTGCGAGTGCGTACCACCTAAAGCAAAGCCTTCGCACGGAGTCCATGCGAGGGGGGAAAGGCCATTCGCCGCTCGGTGCGTCAGGGCAGCAACCACCAACCCTTCAGACACGCACTGAAAATGATGAAGTATCCCAGTACAGTAACCCGGCCGCGCCCGGACGGACAGTGGAGGCGGGTGGGCGCGCCTATCTGTCACCGTGGCGCGGCGGGGCGCCAGCACTTTGCCAAGTTATTCTAGCCGGGCTTATCAGCGTGCCCCCCCCC